CTATGTGAGCTAAATAATTCTAGAATTGTTTTTCTCAAACCTATTCAAACTGTTGTGTTTTTTTGTTTGTTTTGTTTTAATCTTCACTCCAGAATATTTTTTCCATTGATTTTTTTTTTTTTTTTTTTTTTTTTAGAGTGGGAGGGAGGGAGAAAGAGAGAAAAAAACATCAATGTGAGAGAGATACATCGATTGGTTGCCTCATGCAGGCACCTCATTGGGGCTGGGGATTGAATCTGCAATCCAGGTACATGCCCTTGACCAGAAATCAAACACAAGACTCTCAGCTGAGCCAAACCGGTTTTGGCTTTATGTACTTTTTTTTTTTAACTTGATAAAAAAGATCAGAAGATGTAAAAAAAAATAAAATATGGCATTAAAAAATAAATTAAGCCCTAGCTGGTTTGGCTCAGTGGATGGAGCGTTGGCCTACGGACTGAAGGGTCCCAGGTTCAATTCCAGTCAGGGACACATGCCCGGGTTGTGGGCTCGATCCCCAGTGGGGGATGTGCGGGAGGAAGCCAATCAATGATTCTCTCTCGTCATTGATGTTTCTATCTCTCTCTCCGTCTTTCTCTGAAATCAATAGAAATATATATATTTTAAAAATAATTAGTCCGGTTTGGCTCAGTGGATAGAGCATCGGCCTGTGGAGTGAAAGGTCCCGGGTTCGATTCCGGTCAAGGGCATGTACCTGGTTGTGGGCACATCCCCAATAGGGGGTGTGCAAAGAGGCAGCTGATCAATGATTCTCCCTCATTGATGTTTCTAACTCTCTATCCCTCTCTCTTCCTCTCTGCAGAAAATAATAATAATAATAATAATAATAATAAATTAAAATAAAAAGAGCAGTTCCAGCACAGAAAAGGGAAAAAGAATGAAATCTTTTGGGTACCTCTCAGATCCAACATCTTATTCCTAGACTTGTATCTGGTGATGTCAACATCCTATGCCCAGGCTTTGGAATTTGGATTAAGCATTATAACAGTGAGTTTTATGTGTCAACGAGGTTAGGACAGAGTACCCAGTTGTTCAAACACTCATCTAGGTGCTGCTGTGAAGTTATTTTGTAGTTGTAGTTAACATCTACAGTCAGTTACTTTAATTTTAAAAGGTCATTTTCAATAATGTGAGTGAGCCTCATCCAATCAGCAGAAGGCCCCAAGTGCAGAACTGAGGATTCCCTGAGGGAGAATAAATACTTCCTGAGGACTGCCTCCTTCCTCCGTCCAAGAATTTCTCGTCTGCTTGCCCACCTTATGGATTTCAGATTCGCCCAGCCGGACCCCACAATCATATAAGCTAATTCCTTGACCTAATTGCTCTATTAATAGTTAGATGATAACTATCGAGCTATCTAGATAAATGATAGATAGATATCCTACAGGTTCTGTTTCTCAGGTACCCTTGCTGACCTGAGCAGTCATACCTTGGGTGTCTCTTGGGCATTCTCTGATCTCTGATCCCCAAAGGAAAAGCCTCTCAAATTCTTCCCTGAGAGGCCTCCTCCTGCATGCCTTCCTTTTCCTACCTTCTTTCCCTTCCTTCTGAAGAGCTTCTGCCTCAAAAACATAGAATGCCTATATCTGCTGAGAAAACCATGTTCCCTGGTCTGCCCAGTTCAGCATACATCTGTTATATATGGAAACAATATATTAATAATTAAAGCCACTTTAAAATGGAGCCAGAGCTGCCATGCCAGAGGAACTGCCTTGCAGGACATACCTCAAATCACTGGAATGCTTTAAAGCAGGGCAAAATATTTACCTTTGGACTGAGCCTAAGCAACCTTGCAAAAAAAATTTTGTATAAAGATCACAAAAAAAGTAGACAGTTAACTACTGGACTGGAAGCTTAAAACATTGTTTAGAATTAATATCACTGTTAATTTATCTGCACCAATAGATATGTTTTCCTTCTGTTGAGAAATTGCCCACTTCCTTCTCATAAATATCCAATGCTTTGTCTCCTGGTTGGAACACTATCTGGGCTTCGCCTGAATCAGTGTGCCCAAATAGCTATTCTTATTGATCTAAATAAATGCTGCTTGCCTCTTGCTTTGAAAGGCCTTTTGTTCTTAGGTTAACGATGTTAACAATCATGAGGAAGCCTGGTTTCTCCAATTATATTTCCATTGCCCTTTCTCTTCATCTTTGTCCAAGCTCACAAGTTTACTGTATTCCCTCCTCTCCTTTCTTCCAGGGTAATTGTGATTTCTAGCCAGCACATAACTTTCCATAATAAAACTACATTTCTGAGCCTCATTTCAAATGTGTGGTCATAGGCTAGGTTTTAGCCAATGAATGGAACATGAGCAGAAGTAATGTGTTTAACTTCCTGGTTCTGCATTAAAAGGAAAAGATGATGAGTCTGGATTTTGTGGATCACAGCACCACCCCTAAGGGAGTGGAGCAATAAGATATACTGTCACCTGAACTTCATCTGGTTTATGATATTGATTTTGGGGATTTCTGCAGTAACATACAAATTTTCATCCTAACCAGTATGCCACAAAACTTACCAAAGGAATAATCTACTTAATTTCTTTTTTAAAAAAAATTTTTATTGATTTCAGAGAGGGTAAGATAGCAGTAACAATGATGAGAGAGAATCATTACTTGGCTACTTCCTGCAAGCCCCACACTGGGGCCTGAGTCCACAACGAGGGCATAAGTCCTGACCAGGAATCAAACTGTGACTTCCTGGTTCATAGGTCAACGCTCAACCACTGAGCCATGCTAGTCAGGCAACCATCTACTTCTTGAACCATTGAGTGTCCTGTTTCCCGACTGCTTCTCCTCCTTCTCACCCTTAACCATGGGCAACTCCCTTACTCCCAGGGTCTTCCCCTAAACCTGGTTTATTTTCTCCCTTGAAAATCACATCTACTCTTATAGACGATAACTTCACACTTTTCTAAGCCTAACTCATCTCTAAGCACCAGGTCTGCTTATGAGATCTCTCCTGCCTGACCAATTGCTAGCAAACTAAATTCTGTATGTTTAAAATCAAACTGACAATTCCCCCCCCCCCCCCCCCCGAGCGCGCTCGCGCTCTCTCTCTCTCTCTCTCTCTCTCACTCACTCTCTCTCTCTCACACACACACACACACACACACACACACACACACACACACACACACACCCCAGGGGTACATGCCCTTGATGGAATTGAACTCTCAACCCTTCAGTCTGTGGGCCCACGATCTAACCACTGAGCAAACCTGCTAGGGCCCAAACTACTTTTGCAGCTCCAGCACTTCAAGCTCTCCATCAACCAAGCTCTCCATCAAGGTTTACTTTTCATTACTTAAGTTACAGATGTTTTTTTTTTTTTTTTTTTTTAATCCTCACCCAAGCACATTTCCACTGATTTTAGAGAGAGGAAGTGAGATGAAGAGAAAGAAACATCAATCGATTGATTCCCTTAAATGCCCCAACCAAGGATCAAACCCACAACCTGGGCATGTGCCCTGACTGGAAATCAAATCCATGATCCTTCGGGACAATGATTCAACCAACTGAGGCACACCAGCCAGGACTAACTTGATATTTGGTATATGACAATAAATAGTTTATTGAGAAAAATATTAACTACTTGACTTAGATTTTATATTGCTTTATCTAAAATTAAATTTGATAACTTAGTGCCAAATTCAAACAAATTTTTTTCCAAACTTTTGGCTAAAACTCCAGATTCTTTCTAGCATTACAATGGCATTTTTGTACAAAATCCAATATTTTTTTTAAAAAAATACTGTTGTAAAATATCTCAATGACAATATTGTGGAAATATTTTTCAATGAAATATAATATTTTTGGCCCTCCAACTAAAGTTCAATACATTGTATTCAATGAGGTTCTAAGTGCCATAAGTTCATCAAAAAACAGGTTCTTCAAAATCTTGACACGTGTATTTTAAGCAATTTATTTTTTATTAAATATTTTTATTTTTTCCAATTACAGTTTACATTCAATATTATTTTATATTCGTTTCTTTTCATTTACGTTACCCTTGATTGTAGATGCATAGAAAATAAATCCAAACTTCCCATCTAGCATCCTTTGACCTACCCATTGGTCTACGAACACTAAATCTTATTATTTTCCTTCACATGGCCACCCAGGGCTTCTTTTCCCATTGATCTTAAGCAGTCACACCATGTCTTCCTCACAACGGGTTCCTCGGCCGGAACACCCTCCTTCCTTTCTCCTGGCCAGAATCCGTCTGCGTCTGGCACAGAAGCAACTGGACTACTCAAGATCTCAGACCAGACCGTTTCCTTAGCTGCCCCCGCTCTTCGCTGACTGTCTGTCTCTCCGTGCACTCATCCTATTCGTCCCAGACGGCAGGGCTGGGCAGAAGTCACTTCTGGCGTCCAGGACAGGCCCCGGAGTTTGCTAAATAACTCTGCTAACGACGGTGTCGGCCGACGTGCCGAGCATCTACGAGGTGCCAGAACGGTTAGCGCTGGGACACAATCTGCTCAAAGGAGCTTACAGTCTATTCACTAATTCAAAAATTGTAAGTGCTGTGAAAAGCAAAGAAACGACCGGGACTCGGCCTCGCTCGCAGAGCCGTGGGCGCAGGAAGCGTCTACCGTTGAGCTGCGACCAGTCCTTCCTTCCCCTCGCGCTCTCGCGTAACCAAGTCCGTTCAGTCCCGGCGTGCCCCGCGCCGCTCTCCGCGGCCCCACCCCGCCGGCTGAGCATCCTCTTCCGGACAGGCTTCGAGGGCCCCGCTGCATGCTGGGAGTTGAAGTCCCCGTGGAGGCGGCGCGGCGCGTGAGCCAGCTCTCAGCGCGTGGCAGGAAGCGGAAGCGGCCTGCGGCCTGCGCCCGGTCCCGGCTCCGCCCCGCTCCACTCATCCCAGGGCTATCACTGACGTGTCTCTCTCGGCGGAGGTGCTGCTCCCGGGTTGCTGGCTGAGCCGCGGGCAGCGTCGCCTCGCGCGGAGCGGAGTGGAGCCTAAGCAGGACCGGGGTCCGAGCAGCCGCCGCCATGGCGAGTGAGTCCTTAGGGGGCAGCCCTGGTTACGCCGGGATGGAACACAGTCCCCCTTTCCCCTCACCGGTCCGGGCAGGTGCCCGCCCACCGGGCCTGCCCCGATCCCAGGCCCTCGGGGTTCCCATGAGTTCTGGTACTCGGGCTGCTCCCCTGCCCCCCACCTCCTGCCCTACACAAGCTGGGCGGAAGCTTACCCGGGTAGCGCGAAAGGTTCTCCCAGCCCTAATTCTTCTTTTGTGGTTTTGTTTTTTTCCATCAAAGTCAAGTTTCTGGAAGTCATCAAACCCTTCTGTGTCATCTTGCCGGAAATTCAGAAGCCCGAAAGAAAGGTAAGTCCCCAGATCGCTGTCAAAGGAGGCTTTGTGAAACTCTGGATGCTTGAAGTTTACAGTACAATTAAATATGGCTTCAACACGCCAATGGGAACTCTCTCCCTTCTCTTTCCCCCCCGGAGTATAGTTGTATGTACTCCTGAGCTTTGTCGAAAGGTGACCTCCTTATGTGGGAATTTCCACCTAACCCATCGTGCTTTATCCAGAGCATCCTTTGTGGATGTTACTCCTGTGAGCAAAGTCTCAAATGTGCTTTGTCCCCAAAATTGACCCTGGCAGTGAATGAGTAAGGCCTCAAAAGCCCTAGGATACTCAGGTTGGGTCACCTTTCCCTCTTCACCTCCAACAGGAGCAGATACAGTTGGGTTTTTCTAGGAGATGCTCTTTGTAGCCAGCTGCTAAAAAGCTAAAAGCAATCTCTTTATTCCACACAAAACTTTTTATGTAGGCTGCCAAATCACCTGTGAGTAAAGGCAGTTTGTGAGCCCTGCTTTTTACAGCAGGTACACTAAAACGTGGAAAAATAGAAGTGTAGACTTATATTGCATCTTTGTCAGAATTTCTGCTGCTACATGGATAGCTACAGGCCAAGATAGTGAGTGTTGCCCATGTAAGGAAAGCTGTCATTGGGTTCTTAAAGAATAGGAGTATATTTTGTCTTCACATTCCTTTCAGGCTGTTGTTCATGCATTCACATATATGTACTTGACATCAACATGGACATTGGGTTCTTGGAGTATCTTTTCTGTGTGTGGTCTTTGTTTTGTACCCCTTTGATGGGCTAATATTGCAAAGCTCTTCCCTTGTCACCCCACCCCCACCCCCACCCCCACCCCTCAGCATGGTAGAAAGGGCTTGGCTCTGGAGGCAGGCAAACCTGGGACCCACCCTTCCAACAACCTCTTACTAGCTGTGTGACATTGATTGGCCTTGTAGCTTACTAGTAAGTGTGATAGACGGAGCAGTGGAAATATGGGTAAGATACAGCAATGGCTTCAAAAGGGGTTAACTCTGGAAGATGTGATTTCTGATGGTGGTTTTTTGGGAAGAATAGAAGTTTTCTGGAAGCGAGGGAGAAGAATTTCAGGCATAAAGAATGTGTAATGTGTAAAGGCAATGAAGACAAGCAGGTTGAAACTCAGAGGGTAGGTGGGAAGCATTCGGAGCCAGATATTAGAAACTTGCCTTGAAAGCAGGGTAGAGGATTGGAGTGGTTTAGAGGCTTTTGCAATAGAGAGTGATCCATGGGAGTGGGCTAGGAGGTAAGGATAAATTTAGGAGCTGTTTAAAAGATAAAGTAGACAAGACTTGAATAAACAGCTTTTGATGTTTTCCTGTTAAGATTGGCTGCATTCATGAAAGACTTGGTTATTAACAAAAGAGGAGTCTTGTAAAAATTGTCCACTCGTTTTTCCCATAAAAAATCATTTCAGCCCTGGCCAGGTGGCTCAGTTGGTTGGAGTGTTGTCCCATTCACCAAAAGGTTTCAGATTAGATCCTGGTCAGGGAACATATGGGAGGAAACCGATCTGACCCAACCGACTGACTTCTCCCTTCCTCCCTCCCTTCCTACTCCCCTTCTTCCTTCCCTTCCTCCTTCCCTCCCTCTTCTCCACTTCCTTCCTACTCTCTTTTCCTCTCCCCTCCCTTCCTTCTTCCTTCCCTCTTTTCCTCTCTCTCTAGGAATTAATGGAAACATATTCTCATGTGAGGATTAAAAAAAGAATCATTTCAAAGAACAAGTTTTGTTCACTTAATATTGTAACTCACAAGGCATTTCCACATAAAGATCTGTATTCTGTACAATATTACTGTGTTTTTAAGCCTTTTAAAGCTATTCTTGCAGTGGAGGCATCAAGTACTAACAAAGACACTGAGTTTTAGAAGCAGAAGACCCAGAAGAATTCCCACTCTACTGCTTAGTACCAGAGGCGCCTTGGGCAGGACATCTAAACTTTTCTCATGGTTCTTAGTAGTCATCTGTAAAATCATTCTGAAACTTAAACCTATCCTACTTACATACCTGAAGAGATCCCCCTGTTTGGCATCATATCTTCTTTCTATTGGATAAGACCCTTTTTATTGGGAAAGTCCTAGATCGATGCTACTAGTAGTTAGTGAATGGGTTGAACTTGCAACTCTCCTTGTCCTCCTCCCCATATTGTTTATTACATTGTTTTATCCTTAATTCATAGAACATATACTGCGTATTAAACAATCACAAATTCCAAATTGGCTGACTCCAAAATAGCAAAATCTCTTTCTATTGCAACATTCTTTGATCTCGAACTTGAACTTGATCCTAAACTGTTAATACTAAGGGTTAAGAGCATATGAAACTCACTTCTGCCTTTCTAAAATCAGTTTTCTCATTGTTAAATAAAAATAGGAGCTGTGTAGTGCAAGGGTCCACTGAGATGATGCATATGAAGGTCCTTGCATATAGAAAGCCTATATGTATACAAGTACTTGTATTTTGACATGAATGTTTGGTACATGGTTTGGCATATGAGGCTTACTTTTTAAAATATATATATTGATTTTTTTATAGAGAGGAAGGGAAAGAGATAGAGAGTTAGAAACATCAATGAGAGAGCAACATCAATCAGCTGCCAAGGTACATGCCCTTGACCGGAATCGAACCTGGGACCATTCAGTCCACAGGCCGATACTCTATCCACTGAGCCAAACCGGTTAGGGCACGGCTTACCTTTCTGATGAACAGAAAAAGGGGTCTAACCTGAGTTGATTTCTTTTAATTTGCTTATGAAAGTAACTTCTTGCCTTATTTCTTTCTCTTCTACATAGATTCAGTTTAAGGAGAAAGTGCTATGGACCGCTATTACCCTCTTTATTTTCTTGGTGTGCTGCCAGGTAAGCCAGATTTCCCGTTCCTGTATCGAGGCGGGGGTCAGAGAGGGCTGGAGATAAGTGTGCTGACGCCTTTTCTCTATGCTTGTTTCCAGATCCCCCTGTTTGGCATCATGTCTTCAGATTCTGCCGACCCTTTCTATTGGATAAGAGTGATCCTAGCCTCTAATAGAGGTAGAACTCTAGCTCTCTGCACCTCTTTCTGTACAATGTGGGCTTAACTGACCTTTTTTAGTTAAATTACAGGTGTTGGCTTTATGTGAAACTCATAGAGTGTTTGGGAAGAATGTCAGTGTGCTGTGCTGAATAGCCTTAGTAAATACCGAATTCAGCATCGAGGCATGTCAACATATTCAGAATTGCATATGAATGCAGTGTAAAACCTGTAATAACAAGATTGAGTATGTTGTAGAGAATAGGAAAAACTAGAATGTTTTTTAAACAACTGAAATAATAATATTTCTACCTGACTTTCTTGTGTTTTGATAACCTTTAGAATATGTTGTTTCTCAGCTGCATCTTTTTCATATCTATAGATTATATTGCTATATTTTTAAAAATATCTAACAGTGTTTTATATACTCTAATTACCCTTAGGGCAGGGATTTTGAACGTTTATGTCAGTACCACTTTTGATTAACCTATTTTTAAAATATAATATAGTTCAAATGTATTTAGCCGTAATGAAAGTAGAAGTTTATTCACAACTAGATACAATTGTATAGGCTTCCTTTTCAGACTTGGGGATTATTTGAATGTTATCCTTTTTATTACCTGATGAAGAGACAAACCTTATCTCTGTAAAAACAGAATGCATCTGTTTATGGTGAATTTAATGCAACTATCTGTTTAAAAGCCATGTGACTTCTGAAACAGAATAAGATGTGGTCTGGCCAACTAAACAGAATGAATTGAATTACACTGTAATAGTTTATCTTTTGGGGTCATTCTCTAAATTAAATGCTGCTAGCAAACTGAAGCACACTAGTTTTGTGTAAGGGTACACAGTCATATTTTGCTCATTCATTTTCTTAATAAAGTGTTGCTTTTCCAAGCTAATATGGGCTGTGTTTTGCCTCCCTTGTCCCCAGGCACATTGATGGAGCTGGGTATCTCTCCCATTGTCACCTCTGGCCTCATCATGCAGCTCTTGGCTGGCGCCAAAATAATTGAAGTTGGTGACACCCCAAAAGACCGAGCCCTCTTTAACGGAGCCCAAAAGTGTAAGTGAGATTTTCAGTGATGTTCAGATGTCTGTAGTGGAGAATTTGAATTTGCTATAAAGTTTGGGGCATCAAAACAGTTTTTCTTTGTACAGTGTAACTTCATTGCCCCCCCAACCCTGCAGGTGCTCCATGGCTTGTGTTAGCAAGAAAACACTTCTCGGGCCGGGCCATTGGCTGGGGCCTGTGATTCGCTGCTTCAGTGAGGGGCTCAACTATGGCCAGTGGCCTGTTGTTTTTCTGGGCACCACTCCTCCAACTGCCCAACACTATGTGCCAGTAGTGTGGCCCAATTCCTCCTGTGCTTTTGGGCTCTGCTCTGAGCAGTGTGTCATCCTTTAAACCAGAATACGGGTGGGCTCTATTGAGGGGAGGGGGTTACAAAACAAGAAGAAAGTGGAGGAGGTGCTAGAAAAGAAGGAAGAGGACTATAGTGGGCAAAGTGCTCAGCCTTTGAGAGGTAATGGCAAAGGTGGGGTACCTGCTAGAGTGGAAGGGCTTCTCAGATGAAGGTAATGCATGGGAGCCAAAAGAGAACCTAGATTGCCCCAACCTCACAGCGGAGTTTGTATAGTCACAGAAAACAGCATATGAGACAGAGAAGTGAGAGGGAGGCTAACTCTGATTCTGAAGCTAAGAGAGGAGAACAAACGGAAGAAGAAGAAAGAGTCAAAAGCCCCAAGGCTTTGCTGATTATTAGAGCTGCAGAATCCAGTGGAGAACTCATGTTTGATGAGGCTGACCTGGTCCCTGCCAAAGAAGCCACTGTCTAGTGCCCCCAGGTTGTCAAATCCTTCTATTCTGATGTGGCATTCCTACCCCTCAGAAGATCATGACAAAAAACTCTGCTGGTACCAGCCCCTGTCACACCTGACTGGGTTTCAGGTGGGAAAGGGAAGGAGTTCTACTTGTCTTGAAGCTATAGAGGTGCCTTGAGAAGATGTCCTTTGAAGAGCCAATCTAGTTTCTGTGCCCTACAGAGCCCAGTGCTTTATTTTTTAAAAAAAATATATTTTGTTGATTTTTTACAGAGAGAGGGAAAGAGAGAGTTAGAAACATCGTCGAGCGAATCATCCATCAGCTGCCTCTTGCACACCTCCTACTGGGGTTGTGCCTGCAATCAAGGTACATGTCCTTGACCAGAATCGAACCTGAGACCTTTCAGTCCGCAGGCTGACACTCTATCCACTGAGCCAAACCAGTTTCGGCTAGCAGCCCAGTGCTTTAAAGCTTTAAAGCCGTTCCATGCCATACAGTTTGCACACCCATTTCAGTGGAGGGGAAGAAAGATAAGTGTTTCAAGGCAACACATTCTGCACTTTGGGGAGAAAAGCAAATGGCCTTCTATGAAGGGAGAAAACTTACAAGCCAAGGGTTTCCCAACAAAGAACTAAATCAGTTGATAAGTCACCAAAACTCCCATGTTGGGGAATGTAAACTGGTTGAGAAGGGAAACTTTTCATTGGAGCATATACCTAGATTATTCTTTCTTAGAGATGCTAACTCTTTTTTTTTTTTTTTTTTTTAATGAATTCCACAATTTATTGTCATTTCCGTTTACAAAATGAAGGGGAAAGTCTTATGAATAACTAATATCTACCATTCCTAGTGCTCTTCATGCCATTGTGTGGTTCCAGCCTTCTATCTGTAGCCTTCTGCTATAATTTTTCTTTTCCTCATAAACTTTTAGTATTTGAAATGCAGGTTTTCTGTGTAAATTGCCTCAGCTTATTGAAAGTATTTCACTTTCATTCAAAAGGTGCTTTTGCTGCATATAGAATTCTAAGTTGACGGTCTTTTACTATAATATTTAAGATGTTATTTTTTATCTTTTAGTTTTCGAGGGTTTCTGTTATCTATCATTATTCTTCTTTCCTCTTTTTCTCAACCTTCTTTAAGATTTTTTTTTTCCTCATTGGTTTTTAGCATTTTGGTAACTAGATGTTTTGGTATGGTTTTCTTTATTATAATTATCCAAATGTTTAGTGTGCATTGAGCTTCTTAAATCTGTGGGCTTTGTCGTTTTCATATTTGGATATTTTCTGACCATGAATCTTCAAATATTTTTGTTCTTTCCTCAGTCCCTCTTTTTTTGCTGAGAGTAATTGTACAAACTTCATTTTTTCATCTCATTGTCTTTAAGTTTTCCTCTTCTTGAACATATGAAAAGAGATGCTAATTCTTGAAATTGACAAAAAGACCTTTTCTAATTATGAAGTTAGAAATATTAGCTTATCCATCAAAACTACTTGGCTGAGGTATTTGGGAAGGGGAAGAAGGTAGCATAAGAGGTTGGGGTTTTTTCTTATTGATTTTTAGGGAGGGAGCAGGGAAGGAGAGAGAGAAAGAGAAACATAAATTTGTTCCATTTATTTATTCATTTATTGGTTGCTTCTTGAATATGCCCTGACCAGGGATCGAACCCACAATCTTGGCATATCGGGATGACACTCTTAACTAACTGAGCTACCTGGCCAGAGCGCCTCTCTGTTTTTTTACATTGAACTAGGAAATCATTAGTGACAGGGTTCAGGTCAACACTCAACCAACTGAGCCACACCAGCCAGGGTGGCAGTATTAGTATTATTCATCTTTGTTCTTAGTGCTTTGTACAGACTAAGTGTTCAATAATTGTTTCCTCTATGACTGTGTAATATCCCACTTTGAGAACATAGTTTTCTTTTGATTTCTAGTATTTGGCATGATCATTACCATTGGCCAGTCCATTGTGTATGTGATGACGGGAATGTATGGGGACCCTTCTGAAATGGGTGCTGGAATCTGCCTGTTAATCACCATTCAGGTAATTGTTATGCTAACATTCTTCCAATCTAAGTAGCTCCTCACACTCAGAACCATGCATAAAATAAACTTGTATGGAGAAGGAGCCACAGCACCTGTGTTGGCCTCTTTAAACTCAACAGAGGAAGGCCTTGCTGTCTGTTGTCTACTCAGCCTTCAGCATTTATATCAGAGAAGCCCCTTGCCTGGGGAGGAAAGGGCCACGCCTGTAGGGAACAGGAATGCAGTCTATTTGGGTTTCTTTACTTTCATTTTTTTATTTACAGCTCTTTGTTGCTGGCTTAATTGTCCTGCTTTTGGATGAACTTCTGCAAAAAGGGTATGGCCTGGGCTCTGGAATCTCCCTCTTTATTGCCACTAACATCTGTGAGACCATCGTGTGGAAAGCGTTCAGCCCCACCACTGTCAACACTGGCCGAGGTAAGCGCCCTGGGACCTCCGAGGGACAGTCGGTGAAAAGTATGGACATGTGCAAAGCAGAAGACCAAAGATCCCGTTCCAAAGAAGCAGCAGCTCCGTTTTAGGTACATTTCTTCTGATTCTTCTGTGTGTATTTTTAAACACGGGCTTCTGCTCCTAATGATACATAACTTACATATTCCATGTCAGAGTATTTCACAAATGTTTACCTTGCCAAGAGTACGGAATCCTGCCTCTTTTTTCTTGGCAAGGATGAGCAGCATTTATTGAAGTAGTCTTCTGATGGACATGTAGGTCCTTCCCAGTTTGGGTTATTACTGCAACAGAAATAGTGAACAGCCTCGTGCATTCATGTTTCTGTATTTTGGCGGTTGCTTTCAGTGAATAAGTTTCTAAAAATGAAATCACTGAACCAACCAACTCACTTGGTCATGCAAGAAGCAACTTTGTGTAAGAGACCTGAACTTGGCGTTCACCTCCTGGCTGTTCCGGTTAGGAGTAGATAGTGGTTTGGGGCAAATCCCTCTACCTCGCAGCCTTGGTTGCCAGGATGAAATGAGAAATAGCATGAAATGGTCCAGGAATAGCGAGCAGGAGGAGCCCAGGTGGTTCCACCATTATGTGTTAGAAACATGAGGAAAGTACCCTCGGGGGGCAGTATGCAGGTGCCCGTCACAGTACTGATATCAGGACCTCCCACCCGCCCACGGAGCACAGCTCTGGACATGGCTCCCTGCAGGAGGCCAGATTTTCATTGTGGGAGAGTTACGCTCTCCTCGGGGAACATAGAGCAATACAGTGCTCCTGCTTCTTACTTTAGTTGGGGGTTTAACTTCAATAAGTTCTTGAAATTTTATAAGCTTTCTAAGCCCAGTTCCCCAACTCCCCCTCACTTGGGTCTGCTGCCTAATCCATTCTTGTTCTTAATTCCTTCAGTCCCTCAGTAAGCTGCTCTGCTTCCTGGCTCTTTCAGCACCCTTTCCTATGAGTTGTGTACTGACTGAATCAGGCTCTGTGGTGGACATGCATGTTGTCCTTTCTGCTTGTTCATCAGTGTAAGGAGCAGAGAAGTCAAGCCCGTCCCCCCTTGTCAGAGGCAGCCTGCACTTCAAAGCTGGGGATGCTCTGCTGCCTGGGATTTCCTGGGGAAATGAATGGGCAGCTCCGAGCCACTCTTCAGTGTAGGACCTCTTCAGCTGGTCCTGCTTTGGTGGTTTTATAATTGATCATCATTCCACACGTCTGGTGGCCATTGATTCACATGCCAACAAAGTGAGAACTCAAAAGGGTAGACTAGCCCCTTTCTGCAGGTTGAAATCTCTACTGAGAAATAGAAATGAGGGAGGAGAAAAAGCCACTCTACCCCTGTGATTATAGGAATAGGCACCATGGATCTCAAAACTAACTCTGTTTTCCTCTCTAAGAAGCTGTTTGTCTCCTTACCACGTGTGTCCCCTCCTTTACCGACAGGGATGGAATTTGAAGGTGCCATCATCGCACTGTTTCATCTGCTGGCCACACGCACTGACAAGGTCCGAGCCCTTCGAGAGGCCTTCTACCGCCAGAACCTCCCCAATCTCATGAATCTGATTGCCACCATCTTTGTCTTTGCAGTGGTCATCTATTTCCAGGTGCGTCCAGACCCACCACAGGGAGACCTGGTGGTCCGGTTTAATTTTTGGAATGTCTTGGTGTGTGCGTGTGCGCCCTCACCCACACCCAGGGGGGTGTGCATCACTGTATAGTATTGAAGTGATGGGATGGCATCTGAAAGGAGCAGGTTTCCATGTGAGCTGGGCAAGTGTGTTCCATCGAGTCATGGGGACCTGCCTGAACTGGACAGACTGAGGTAGATGCAACATTTCTGAGATTATGCTCCTTTGGGTTGGGTACAGCAACAGATAAAGAAGATAAATCTTTAAGTTCCTAGTTCAAGAAAAGTGAAAAGTCATCAAACTCTAAAGCTTCATCACCATCTTACCCAAAGTTTATAGTGTATTTGTAGGTAGTGTCATTCTAGAAAAGGCCCTTCCTCTTGAGAGCTCTTAACTTTCAAATTATTAGTCTGTGTCACTTGCCTGTGAGTAAGAGACCTGAGCTGTCAGTTGCTCTTCGGTAGTTGGATTAGTCTTTATATTTATTCATCAGCCATTCTGATAATTATTGAAAAGAAGGGATGGCAATGGAAAAGACAGCTTAGTGCTTATAGGAAGGTCATTATACCACCAAGTGCTTTTTCTGAGGACCAGACAGTCTGTTCCTTCAGCTGAGACTTAATCAGATGCCTAATTAATAAGCTTTAGTGCACCATAAGCTTGGTGTAGGTATTTGGAGTTAGGTCATTAAGTTTTTATTTTATTTTATATATTTTATACTGAATTCTGTTCTAGACACTTGGAGTTTATAAAATTAATATAAAAGAAAACCTTTCTATTCGCCAGTGGTTTCAGAGGGAGAGGCTGTATTCATAGAAAAGCTTAGCTTTTCTGTTTATGATTTAAAACATCGGAAAAGACTGCTGTGGGGTGTGAGGTGGAGGCCAGGGTGGCCGTGTTTTGGGGCCACTGTAAGAGCACAGGAGAGGCAACCACCAAAGAGACCACTGTTAGGACTTACTGCGCATGTGTCCTTCAGGCTCTTTTCTGTCCACATTACTGCAGATTTAATGTGATGGACTTCGGGTTGCTTGCTTGTTTATTTGTTTGTTTTTGACAAAAATGGGATTATTCCACTATACTGGGCTTTGGTGCATTTTGAAGCCTTTCTTTCTGGGAACCCTCAGCTAAGTGGCCCTGAGGGTAGTGATGGGTGAGGTTAGGGCATGCGAGCCTGGAACCAATGTAGATCCTGCCATCCCCAGCTGGGCTGCGTCTGTGCAGACTCTGGCATGAGGCAGTGAGGGTGCTCTGCTTTGTTTGGCTTCTCAGGGCTTCCGAGTGGACCTGCCCATCAAGTCGGCACGTTACCGCGGCCAGTACAACACCTACCCTATCAAGCTTTTCTACACCTCCAACATCCCCATCATCCTGCAGTCCGCCCTGGTGTCCAACCTGTACGTCATCTCCCAGATGTTGTCAGCCCGCTTCAGTGGCAACCTGCTGGTCAGCCTGCTGGGCACCTGGTCTGTAAGTATGGCTGCTTGAAGAAATGCGTTTTAATGCTGTAGCTACTTACGGTGGTGTGCATCCAGGTGCCTTCCTTGTGACCAAACATTCTACCCAAAGATATTGCCTAACCATGCCTTTTACAATTTAATTCAGCACATTAAATTCTCTTTTCAATAAGAAAATGGCACTGTGGACACGAGTAAAATTGTGTCCCTTTTCATCCACTCGGAACTACTTTTGTCCTTATACTAAGGTATAAAGAAACAGCACTCACCAGCTCTCTGTGTATTCTTCCCAGGATACATCTTCTGGGGGCCCAGCACGAGCTTATCCAGTCGGTGGTCTTTGCTATTACCTGTCCCCTCCAGAATCTTTTGGCTCCGTGTTAGAAGACCCTGTCCATGCCGTTGTATACATAGTGTTCATGCTGGGCTCGTGTGCTTTCTTCTCCAAAACATGGATCGAGGTCTCGGGCTCCTCTGCCAAAGATGTAAGTATAAGTTACAATTTAATTAAACCAGGAAACAGTAGCTCTCGCATGTCACTGGTGTAAGTGGTCTGTGAACACCTGCAGCCACTTCCTCCTCATTAGGCCGAAGCATTTACGGGAATAGACGAGCCCAGGGGTAAATTAATGCTCACCTGGGGAGGTGGAGCCAAACTAGAACTAGACTTCTTTGGAGCAGTTTTTAAATTGTCTGTATAAATGTTACTAGTATGCTAAAGAAGGAAATCTGTGTTTTGAGCCATTATGGAATGTCTACCTGGCCGTCAGTTTCAAACTTAAAACTGAACATTGTCTTCTCTTCGGGCATCATGCAGGTTGCAAAGCAGCTGAAGGAGCAGCAGATGGTGATGAGAGGCCACCGAGAGACTTCCATGGTCCATGAACTCAATCGGTGAGGCTGGCCCTGGGTCCTAGTGGTTTTCTCATAATTGTAGTTTTCTTACACATCAGGCATCTTGATAGGGCTTAGAGATTTCTGGTTAATTAAAAGATCTTGTGTCCACAAGAAAATCAGCATTGCCAATTTCAGATTGTTTTTTTTGATTCCTAGCAGCAACAGGAGACAATTTTGTTCATTCTCTTAATGAGAATTCTCTAGATTTACAACACATTGCTCAGGAGAGAGAAAATGCAAGCCACATAAGAACTCTTACATTTTCTAATAATCACATTTAAAAAAGTAAAAATGGGGGCGGAGCTTGAAGATGGCGACCGAACAGTCGGACCTATTCTGACTCTGGTCCCAGAACGGATAAAGGGGGCTTCTGAGTCGCTCAGGGAGAGTTGATTGGCAGCTAAGGGACAGCGGAGCTCTCAAGGAGGGTAAGGGAGGGTCCGCTGGACAGGATTTCCTGACCAAGTGGCCAGGACGGCCGCGGCCGCAGCGGCGGAGGCAGCGAGCGGTGGGCTGCGGGCGTGGAGGAAGGGCTGCATCGTCTTGCCAGGAAGGAAAGAGCTTCTCTGAGGCGTGGAAAACGCACAGCCCGGAGGTCCATCGAGCAGCTGAGACTCCCAGAGCTGCGCAGACACGTGGATTCCGGGGAGATCTTCAGTCACCCACGGAAAGGTCAGAGTTTGCGGGGATAGCCTAAGGGATCTGGGTTCCGCGGCGGCGAGCTCCGGCCCCGCCCCCACTACGGCAGCCGGGGAGCTCCGGCCCCGCCTCTGCTACGGTAGCCGGGGAGCTCCAGCCCTGCCTCCACTGTAGACGGGTGCGCGAACTACAGCCCGCGGAGGCGGAGAGGAGCCCAGAGAAGGCTACAGCGACACCTAGTGCTGGGTTTGAAGTAATCCCCCCAGAAGAGGGGCTTTTTTAAAACGCCAGGGGACAAGGGACAGTGTGTTAAGAATAGCGGCTGTCCCGCCAAGGGCGGAACATCTGGACACCTTGGCACCGGTTCCCATTCATCCCCTTGCTTCTGAATACTAGAGAAGAACTGCCCAGTTGGGCATAGCCGGGGAAATTGTAGGGGGAATTTGCCTTCTGGAAACAAGGGATTGGAGCCAGAAGACATAGTCCTGGAGCCAGCTAGAGCCATAGAGAAAGAAGGCCAGAGCAACCAAAAAGACTGGGAGGTCAAACCGGAAACACTGACACCTAAGAGCCGAATTACAAACTGCCTTTTTTTTTTTTCTTTTTCTTTTTTCTTTTTTTTTTTTTTTTTTTTTTTTTTTTTTTTTTCTTTTTTCTCTTTTTTCTTTTTATTAATCAAAAATAAACGGACACAAATAACTAAGATATAACCTGCTTAAAATTAAGGTTTACCTTACAAAACTCAGGTGCAGTGGAATGCTGGGGACTGCAAGACTGTCTGGTCTGAGAATCAGGAGTGCCAAATACATTAACAGAGGAAGTGAATGACCACTACTGGACATTTTTATGCTAATTTTACTATTCTTTATTTTATTTTCATTTTTTACATCTTTTATTTAATTTTCACTTTTTATAGCATTTACTTAAGAAAAATTTTTTCTATTTTTTTCCTTACTTCATTTTACCTTTTCAATTATTACATTTTTCAATCTTTATCATCACTATTACTACTGCTATTTTGCAATTTTTGTTTCTTTCCTTTTTTTTTTTTTTTTTTTGTTCTTTGTTTTTTCTTGTTTGTTTGTTTGTTTGTTTGTCTGTTGGTTTCCTCTCCAGTACCATTTTATTTTATTTTTTTTCTGTATTTTACATTGGGAATAACCTCCATTCTATTTTAATCACTACTTTAGCATCATTCAACCCTATCTCAACTTGACCTTTACACCATCACTCTCTTACTAAACTTTACCCTTTTAGTCAACGGTTTATCCTATCCCTTTCCAGCTCTAGATTTTCCTATATTCTTTCTGTATACCCCTTGCTAAAGCTCTCACTATACGTATAGACCTAAGTTCCAACCCCTGATCCAAGTGTATAAATACCAATTTCTGTACTATATTAACTAGTTAAAAAAAAAAACAAAAACTGTTCTCCCCTCTATCCTTTGCGCATTGTTTGTGTGAGGGTTGATTATTGTGAATTTTTATGCTTTTTAGTGAAATGGTTATGCTTATTCCTGTGTTGTTATTGTTGCATTGTATTTTTTTTTAAAATCCTCTGTTTTTGTTTGTTTCTATTACTTCTGTATATCATAGACTTACTTAATAATAGTGGATATTGTAGTTTGTATTAATCTCCAAGTATTGTTACTGGCATTGGCTGGGTTCAGTAGTTGTTCTATGGCAATTTTCTCCACATATATATAGTTTGTTTCCCATTTCTCTTTTAGTTTGCTTCTTCTCTCCCTTTCTTTCTCTCTCTCTCTCTCTCTCTCTCTCCTTTCTTTTTTTCCCTGTTTTCCAACTTTATTTTGTCATTACTTTTTTTCTTCTCTTTATATCTCTTTATCCTTCTTTTTTTATTTTATTTTCTTAATTTTTTTTTACATTTTAATTTTATAAAAATTTTTCTTTATTTTATTTTTACCTTTCTTCCTTCTCCCCTAACCCCTAAGTTGCCTTTCTCTAGTGGTCACCTTTATTTGAGGTTATTAATATTGTAAATACATTCCTGTTAAGTGCCTCTTGTGTTGTACCTGGTAGTGTTGTATATTGTACCTTTAAATCAACGCAGCAGAAGGAACACCACATAACCAGACACCCTGAAAAGAGAGGCTATGGGGAGACAAAAACATAGTCTGCACATAAAGGAAAAGCAGGCATCACCAGAAAAGGAAGTAGAGTCAGAGGCAACCAGCCTAACAGAGCAAGAATTCAGAATAATGATCATAGGATGGCTAAAAAGAATGGAAGAGAAATTTGACAATAACCAAGAAGAAATGAGGAAGAACCACGAGGAATTGAAGAAGAACCAAGAGGAAATGAAAAATGACATCGCTACCATGAAGAACTCAATAGAAAGCATCAAGAGTAGACTAGATGAAGCAGAGGACCGCATCAGTGAGCTAGAAGATAAGATGGAAAAATATACCCAAGTAGAGCAACTTCTAGAAAAAAAGATTAAAAAGCAGGAGGAGAGCCTACGGGAGCTTTGGGACAATACAAAACAAAATAATATTCGAATAATAGGGGTTCCAGAAGGAAAGGAAACTGAGGTAGACATGGAAAAAGTATTTCAAGAAATAATGACAGAAAACTTTCCTGAAATAGAGAAGAAAAAACCCACACAAATCCAAGATGCTCGCAGAGTCCCAAGCAAAATGAATCCCAGAAAACAGACTCCAAGGCATATTATAATTAAATTGGCAAACAACAACGACAAAGTAAGAATCTTAAAAGCAGCCAGAGAGAGACAGAAAGTTACATACAAAGGAACCCCCATCAGACTAGCAACTGATTTCTCAACGGAAACTTATCAGGCCAGAAGGGAATGGGATGAAATATACAAAGTCATGCAAAGAAAGGGTCTGAATCCAAGAATACTGTACCCAGCAAGGCTATCAATCAAAATTGAAGGGGAAATCAGGAGCTTCACAGACAAAAAAAGACTGAAGGAATTTATCTCCACCAAACCAGCAATGCAAGAAATGCTAAGGGGTCTACTGTAAAAATAAAGAAATATTAAGTGAAGAAGGAACACAGGGGTATAGATTAAAAATGGCATCAAATGAGTACCTATCATTAATAACTTTAAATGTAAATGGTTTAAATGCTCCAATAAAAAGACATAGGGTAACAGATTGGATAAGAAAACAAGACCCATACATCTGTTGTCTACAAGAAACCCACCTCAGAAAAAAAGATGCACACAGACTGAGGGTGAAGGGATGGAAAAAAGTTTTCCAGGCAAATGGAAATGAAAAAAAAGCTGGGGTAGCAATACTTATATCTGACAAATTAGATCTCAGATTGAAGGACATAATAAGAGATAATGAAGGCCACTTCATAATTCTAAAGGGAACAATCCAACAAGAAGAAATTACCCTGGTAAATATATATGCACCCAATACAGGAGCAACCAAATACATAAAAAAACTGCTGGAGGACATTAAGGGAGAGATTCATAGCAATACAATCATAGTAGGAGATTTTAATACCCCTCTGTCACCCTTTGACAAATCATCTAAACAAAAAATCAGCAAAGAAATATCAATCCTAAATGACTCACTAGACCAGATGGAATTAATTGACATCTTCAGAACACTCCACCCCAAAGCCGCAGAATATACATTCTTCTCAAGTGCACATGGGACATTCTCAAAGATAGACCACATTTTGGGACATAGGCAAAGTCTCTTCAAATTTAAGAAGATAGAAATCGTATCAAGTATCTTCTCAGACCATAATGGCATAAAACTGGAAATTAACTACAATAAAAATAATCCAAAGAAATCAAACACATGGAGATTAAACAGCATGCTATTAAACAAGGACTGGGTTACCAGAGAAATCAAGGAAGAAATTAAAAACATCCTGGCAACAAATGACAATGAAAACACAACAATCCAAAATCTATGGGACACAGCAAAAGCAGTTTTGAGAGGGAAGTTCATATCCTTACAAGCCTATTGCAAAAAACTAGAAAAAAGGGTAACAGATGATCTAACTCTACAACTCAAAGAATTAGAAAAGGAGCAACAAGAAAAGCCCAGTGTAAGCAGAAGGAAGGAAATAACAAAAATCAGAGCACAGATAAACGACATAGAGACCAAAAAAACAATACATAAGATCAACAAAACCAAGAGCTGGTTTTTTGAAAGAATAAACAAGATAGATGAACCTCTAGCCAGGCTAACCAAGAAACAAAGAGAGAGGACCCAAATAAACAAAATCAGAAATGAAAGAGGTGAAATAACAACAGACCCCACCGAAATACAACAGATTGTTACAAAATACTACGAACAACTCTATTCCAACAAACTGAACAACCTGGACGAAATGGACATATTCCTAGAAAAATACAACCTTCCAAAACTCAATCAGGAAGAATCTAAAAATCTTAATAGACCAGTGACGTGGGAAGAAATTGAAACAGTCATCAAAAAGCTTCCAGCAAACAAAAGCCCAGGGCCTGATGGCTTCACAGGAGAGTTTTACCAAACATTCAAGGAAGAACTAAAACCTTTCCTCCTCAGACTATTCCAAAAAATCCAAGAGGAAGGAACACTTCCAAACTCCTTCTATGAAGCCAGCATCACCCTAATACCAAAACCAGATAAAGACAACTCAATGAAAGAGAATTACAGGCCAATATCCCTCATGAACATAGATGCCAAAATCCTCAACAAAATTCTAGCAAATAGACTCCAGATGAACATCACAAAGATCATACACCATGACCAAGTAGGATTTATTCCAGGAATGCAAGGATGGTACAATATCCGCAAATCAATAAACGTGATACATCACATAAACAAACTGAAAGATAAAAATCATATAGTCATATCAATTGATGCAGAAAAAGCATTTGATAAAATCCAACACCCTTTCCTGATAAAAACTCTTAACAAGGTGGGAGTACAAGGATCATACCTCAACATAATAAAAGCTATATATGATAAACCCACAGCCAACATTATACTCAATGGGCAAAAACTAAAACCATTCCCTCTAAGAACAGGAACAAGACAGGGATGCCCACTCTCGCCACTCCTGTTTGACATAGTACTGGAAGTACTAGCCATTGCAATTAGACAAGAGGAGGAAATAAAAGGCATCCAAATTGGAAAAGAAGAAGTAAAGTTATCCTTATTTGCAGATGACATGATACTGTACATAAAAAACCCAAAAGACTCCATTAAAAAACTAATTGACTTAATAAATGAATTTGGCAATGTAGCAGGATACAAAATTAATGCCAAGAAATCCACGGCATTTCTATACACCAACAGCGAAACTATAGAAATAGAGATTAAAAAAGCAATTCCATTTACCATCGCACCAAAAAAATTAAGGTACCTAGGAATAAATTTAACTAAGGAAGTAAAGGACCTATATGCAGAAAACTACATGACACTGAAAAAAGAGATAGAGGAAGATGTAAAGAGATGGAAGAATATACCATGTTCATGGATCGGTAGAATCAACATCATCAAAATGTCCATACTTCCTAAAGCAATCTATAGGTTCAATGCACTCCCCATTAAAATACCAACGGCATATTTCACCGACCTAGAAAGAACTCTCCAAAAGTTCATTTGGAACAATAAAAGACCCCGAATAGCCACAGCAATCCTGAGAAAGAAGGGTAAAGTAGGAGGGATCTCAATACCAGACTTCAAACTGTATTACAAAGCCACTGTTCTCAAAACAGCCTGGTACTGGCACAAGAACAGACATATAGATCAATGGAATAGAATCGAGAACCCAGATATCAACCCAAATCACTATGCTCAATTAATATTTGACAAAGGAGGCACGAATATACAATGGAGTCAAGACAGTTTCTTCAATAAATGGTGTTGGGAAAATTGGGTAGACACATGCAAAAGAATGAAACTAGATCACCAACTTACACCATACACAAAAATAAACTCAAAATGGATACAGGACTTAAACATCAGACGGGAAACCATAAAAATACTAGAAGCATCCGCAGGCAGCAAAATCTCAGACGTATGCCAAAAGAACTTCTTCACTGATACTGCCCCTAGGGCAATGGAAGCTAAAGAGAAAATAAACAAATGGGACTACATCAAAATAAAAAGTTTTTTTACAGCAAAAGAAACCATCAACAAAACAACAAGAAAGCCCACGGTATGGGAGAATATATTTGCAAATAATACCACAGATAAAGGTTTAATCTCCAACATCTACAGACAGTTGATACAACTAAATAAAAGGAAGATGAATGATCCAATTAAAAAATGGGCAATGGACCTAAATAGAATATTTACAAAAGAAGACAGAAAGAAGGCCAAAAGGCACATGAAAACATGCTCAAAGTCACTAATTATCCGAGAGATGCAAATCAAAACAACAATGCGGTACCATCTCACACCTGTCAGAATGGCCAACATCAACAAATCAACAAACGACAAGTGTTGGCGAGGTTGCGGAGAAAAAGGAACCCTCGTGCACTGCTGGTGGGAATGCAGACTGGTGCAACCACTGTGGAGAACAGTGTGGAGTTTCCTCAAAAAACTGAGAATGGAACTCCCATTTGACCCAGTAATCCCACTTCTTGGAATATATCCCAAGAAACTAGAAACACCAATCAGAAAGGATATATGCACCCCTATGTTCATAGCAGCACAATCTACAATAGCCAGAATCTGGAAACAGCCGAGGTGCCCGTCAGCTGATGATTGGATCCAAAAACTTTGGTACATCTACACAATGGAATACTATGCTGCCATAAAAAAGAAGGAATTCTCATCATTTGCAGCAACCTGGATGGAATTGGAGAACATCATGCTGAGTGAAATAAGCCAATCAATGAAAGAGAAACACCACATGACCCCACTCATTTGTGGATAATAAAGATCATTATAAACTGATGAACCAAAAGATAGATATAGAGACAGTAAAGCAACAAGCAGATTGTCAAATTACAACGGGGAGGGGAGGAGGGTCTGGGGGAGACAATAAATCAACCCAAGGACTTGTATACCTGCATATAAGTACAACCAATGGACATAAAACTCTGGGGAGGGAGGGGATACATGGGAGGGAAGGAGGGGGGCAAAAAAAAAATCAATAAAATATGTAAAATAAAAAAAAAAATAAATAAAAAAAAAAAAAAATTCAAAAAAAAAAAAAAAAAAAAAAAAAAAAAAAATAAAAAAGTAAAAATGTCTAATTAATGTAAGGAAAATCACTAGATATTTTACGTTCTTGTCTTCAAAATCTTGTGTGTCCGCTTACTGGACAGCAGTCCTAGTCTAGACCTAATGGTATGTGAGCATTAAAGTTTCAAAAAGGTAGCGTAATGACCTCTACAGGAGTTAGGTTCCTAAATCAGAGGTAAGTAGGCAGGTAGGCTGAGTCAGGGGTGGGCCACGCTACCGGTATTTATGTGGTGGCACCTTGCTGACTCATCTCCTCCTCCCCAGGTACATCCCCACTGCTGCTGCCTTCGGGGGGCTGTGTATTGGGGCCCTCTCCGTCCTGGCTGACTTCCTGGGTGCCATCGGATCTGGAACTGGGATCCTGCTCGCGGTCACAATCATCTACCAGTACTTTGAAATCTTTGTAAAGGAGCAGAGCGAGGTTGGCAGCATGGGGGCCCTTCTGTTCTGAGCCATTTCTCCCCTGACACAGGAAGAGAAGCCATGCTCTGGAGTTGCCAAGGAAGGGAGCAACGAATCCAGCACGGGGTGCTGCTATGGCATGTGGACCTTTAATTTTTTTTTTTTTTTTAATTTCATATTCTTTCATTCCACTTTGTAAAGTGCTAGAAATTTCCCATTTGAAATTTTGCTTTCTGTTCTGGCATTGGCAAAATAACTATAGAAATGAGGTTTTATTCACCTGAAGGCCAGAGGTTGGGAGGATAAATGACTGTACTCATGTGTCCACGTAACCTTTGTTTTAACCTTTGCACCTTCTCAGTGCCATAGGCGGCTGCAGTGGTCCCAGCTGTTCCCTACAAGGGAATAACTTAGTGGTTAGAAGCACAAACATTGTTGAAAGGACTACATTTCATTGTGGTAGTAGGTGTGAGGCTGGGAGCAGACCATGTGTTTTCTGGCAGATGTGGGAGACTCATTAGCATGTCCCCTCATGGTCAGGGGTAGGAACATCTACTTATCACTGGTACTCTGGATGACACAATTGTCTTCTCCTTTAAAAGCGGTTTTTAAAGAGGGATGAATTTCCTGGCAGACACTTTTGGGCCATCTTTTTATCCTCACCTGAGGATATGTTTATTGATTTTTAGAGAGAGAGAGAAACATCGATCTGTTGCCTCTCGTAAATGCTCCAACTGGGGATCGAATCCACAACCTATTTAATGTATGGGACAATGCTCCAACCTACTGAGCCACCAGCTGGGGCGAGTTGGGATTCTTTAGCATATGAAGTTGTGCCTGGCCAAGCTAGGCAAACATTGTGTAGTGGATCCCTGAAGTGATATCTGTCCAGTTCTTCCAGTTGTCACTGAACCTGGTTCCTTGTGGTTCCTTCACACACACACACACACACACACACACCCCGCTCAGCCCGAGCAAGGGGAGCACAGTGGCAGGTGCTCAGACATGGAGAGACAGTGACTTACTTGGTTCACAGGTCACCACTCTCTTCCCTCGGCTTCCCAGAAAAGAAGGGCTTAGACCTGAGATCTGTGATGCAGTTAGGGTCAGAGAGCTTGTAAGTTGCTTTGATGTTTGATATAAAAGACTCACTATTATGTAAAAATAAATTTTGTTTGCAATAACAGGGGACCTAGATCTTAGGAATTGGAACGTTTTTAAGAATTTTAGGAAGGTCCCTCTGAAGGACAAGTGCCTGGCAGTGTCTGGCAGTAAGGCACTGCAGGCCTGTGGGATGCTCACTGGAGGGAGCCCCAGTTCTAAGAAGGGAGCACCAGCCCTGTGGGGAGCAGTGTCCCTCCAGCAGCAGGTACACACTGGCTTCTGAAGCACAGAGAGGTGGTCATGAGTCAGTAGACGTGGCAAACTGGACACCTGAGTCAGGAGGCTCCCAGGAGTTCTCACTGGCAGTACAACCAAAACATAGACTGACCAAGGGACAAGAAGTAACTTGCTTAAAACCTCCCAGCAAGTCAGCCACAGAACCACGAGGGGCCTGTCCCCACCCCCAGTCCAGGGCATACCACCATGTCACACGCGGCCTTGTCAGACCCAGTCCTGAGCCGAGACCTCCGCTGCACTTGGTCTCCTCGGCCCCACCCATAGGAATCCTGCAGCCTCGAGGCAGGAGCCCCACATCCCTGCCTGCAGCCTGTGGTCATCAGGGGGCCCTATGGGCTCAGGCTCGGGCTCCGACTCTGGTTAATAACCACAGTGGGTCAGGGCTAACCTCAGCTTCCAGGGACTGTCACTGTGGACGCCAAAATGGCATAACTGAGATAAGGTGAAAAAGTAACAAATAAAGCCAACATTTTACAAGCCATTTGTTCATGTCTTTTGGTTTTCAATACCCTTTTATTCCCAAGAAGGCCTGTGAGAGAAGACACCTGAGGCTTGGTATGGTCCTGATTCTTTGCTTTTTTTAAAAAAATATATTTTCATTGATTTCAGAGAGGAAGGGAGAAGGAGAATGATAGAAACATCCATAATGAGAGAGAATCATGGATCAGCTGCCTCTTGCAAGTCCTCCAGTGGGGATCGAGCCCACAACCCAGACATGTGCCCTTGACCAGAATTGAACCTGGAACCTTTCAGTCCACAGGCTGATGCTCTCTATCCACTGAGCCAAACTGGCTAGGGCAAGTCCTAATTTTTTACAAGGCGCCCAAGGTCTCCCCTAGGTGCAAGTTCCTCTTCAGAAAGACATTTTGCCTGGAAAACTTTCTTCCGGTGGTAATATCAATCACATGCTCAGGATTTCGGCAATTTGAAATGCAGGTGCTAAAGCAGAAATCCTGATTCTGGGTCAGTGTTCAGAAAAGTCTTCCGGTGGTTTTCACTCGGAGCCCAATGACAGACTATTTCCAGGATAGAGGGAGAAAAAAATTTCCCACTCACCCAGATTTCAAAGCTGACATGCTTTTCCTGGACCAGGCCTCAGCAAGCCTCCGCCACCACTCTGTGATCCATGATGGAGTCCCTGAGGCTGGAGCCTCTCTGAGGAGAAGGATCTGCCCACCTGTCACCATGCTCACTCGGGCGGTATTGGCCAAGCTATGCTGTCCCGCTGGGGCCACTTGAGGGACAGGTGTTGGGGCCTGGCCTTCCCGAGGCCATGTGCTGTGAGCAGGACAGGCTGTGCAGCCAGGCTGCCCAGTGCTCCCTCTACACTTGCCGGCCAAAGTGGATGGCTCAGAGATGCAGGCAGGAGCCAACAAGCAAGCACTGCAAATTGTGGAGACAGGCAGATGTTCCGTTTGGATCTACAGAAACTCAGAAAACCTGTTCCCAGGGAAGCACCACATCTCTTGCCTGTGCCTGTGGCCAGACCAACCTCACCTGGGAACAATCAAACGGAACCCACATGTGAGCAGCCACGAATATGGTTTTGGTTCCAGGCCCTGTCTTGGCTCACTATGACCCAGGCTGGCCCCTCTGCACCTCACTTCCCACCTGTGCACCAGAAGTTGAGCAGTGACTCCTAATCATCTGGGAGTAATGATTCTGTGGGGCAGGCATCGTGATAGCTACAGAAACAAGATCTCATCCACCACTCCCATGCCCTAGCTGCGAGAGGCCCTGGGAGGAAACCTTGTTCTGGTTTTATGGGAGCAGAAATAGAATTTGGCCAGAAGTCCCTCAGCCACGTAGCAGCAGAGCCAGGACAAAATACTCAAGGCCCTCTTCCTCTACTCCAAGACCCTGCTTGGCTGCTGGGTCTGTCTGCATGTCCCTTTGCTATGGGCCTGGCTGGGAAAGGAATGAAGGGCTCAAGGAACATGATCCACTCCTAAGGGCCTTCCCATGCTGCCTGTGGCGGGGTCACTGCAGGAAAACTGCCTTAGCTTGGGGGCCCCGCTACAGTCCCATCACTTCCCTCTATCTGCTGACACCCACTCTCTATGTCCCTCCCAGAAGGCTGTCATTTAAAATTAAAGGCAAGATTAGGAAAGGCCAGACAATGAAAAATTTAAGGAGTTCATCACCACCAAACCAGTATTAGAAGAAATGTTAAAGAATTGCCAAAACCGGTTTGGCTCAGTGGATAAAGCGTCGGCCTGCAGACTGAAAGGTTCCAGGTTCGATTCAGGTCAAGAGTATGTGCCTTGGTTGCGGGCGGGCACCTTCCCGGTGGGGGGTGTGCAGGAGGCAGCTGATCGATGTTTCTCTCTCATCGATGTTTCTAATTCTCTATCCCTCTCTCTTCCTCTCTGTAAAAAATTAATTTAAAAATATATATTTTTTTTAAAAAAAAGAATCTTTAAGCCTGGCTGGCATGGATTGATGATTGAGATTGACCTACGAACCAAGAGGTCAGGGTTTGATTCCCAGTCAGAGCACATGCCTAGGTAGCAGACTGATTCTCAGTGGGGAACGTGCTGGAGGCAGCTGGTCTATGATTCTCTCTCATCATTGATGTTTCTGTCTCTCCCTCTACTTTCCTTTCTGAAGTCAATAAAAATATATATTTGATAAAAAGAACCTTTAAGAAGAAGGGAAAAAACATAAATATGAATAATAAAATGGCACTAACTATGCACCTAAAAATAATCACTTTAAATATAAATGGATTAAATGCACTAATCAAAAGACATGGGGTAGCAGAATGGATAAGAAAACAAGACTCATTCATATGCTGCCTACATGAGATCCTTTTCAGATCAAGAGACACACAAACTATAAGTAAAGGAATGGAAAAAGGTATTTTGTGCAAACAAAATGAAAAAAAAATGATTTCTATTAAAAAATAGACGTTATAGGCTATAATAAAACACAAGCACATTACATAATGATAAGAAATCCAACAAGATGATATAATCCTTGTAAACATTTATGCATCCAACATAAGCACCAAATATATAAAGCAGATATTGATGAACATAAAGGGAAAGAGTGACAATAATACTGTCATAGTAAAAAATTTAACACTCCATTGAATCAGAAAGTCAATAAGGAAACAGCAGTCTTATATGACACATTAGACCAGATGAATTTAATATTTTTAGAAAATTTCACCACAAAGCTGCAGAATATACATTCTTTTCAAGTTCACATAGAACATTTTCCTGGATAGACTATAAGTTAGGTTACAAAACAAGTCCCAATAATTTTAATAAGGTTGAAATCATATCCAGCATCTTATCTGACCGTAACAGTATAAAACTAGAAATCAATCACAAGAAGAAAATGGAAAAACACACAAACACATGGAGACTAAATAGTATGTTATTAAACAATGAATGGGTTAACAATGAGAAAATAAGAAAATCAAAAGATAACTTGAGACAAATTAAAAACACAACAACCCAAGGTCTATGGGTCACAGTGAAAGCAGTCCTAAGAAGGAAATTCACAGCAGTACGGGCCTATCAAGAAAATATCTCAAGTAAGCAAGCTAAACTTGAAACTAAAGCAACTAAAAATGAACAACAAACAAAAACCAAAGTAAGTAGGAGGAAATAATAAAGAGCAGAACAGAAATAAGTAAAA